AGAAGAGCCTGGACCCAACGAGCTGTAAGAGAGACCTCGGAGAGACAGCCTTGCCACAGAGCTTCTTCGGCGTCTATTGAACACGAAGATACGTACTTCATGCAGAGAAAAGGAGGGCGGTCGCATTCCAGATGACCTCTGTGCGTCTGTGACGAGACAGGATGCGCCATGATTGCGCGGCTACTAGCCACAGTTGGTGCCACAGGTCGATAATCCGGCGCCCATGATCCTCCGTGGCATGAAGATCACTGCAAACTATATCTCAAAGTCGCATCATTCTTCAGGGGAATTATCCAGTCAGATTCATCAAGACCATGACATCTCAGCTGGCCAAGGGTTCAGCCCCTTCGCGTAAAACAATTAGGTTTAGCGAAGGGTCTAAGGCCTCTGTTCGGCTTCGACCTCGTCCGCCACAAGTGTAGAGAAGATGCCGATCACTTGCTTCATGTGGCTTTGAAGGCGAGCCACACTTGGAGCGTTCAACCGATATGTGTGGAGAGTTACGTCGCTGAAGTGGCTGAGCTGCTGCTTCCCCGGGGGGTGTGCGCCAGGTGTGGAAGAGGTACGACTTCTGACTGGCTCTGGTCTGACGCACTCGCCACAATTGAAGGGGGACGGATGGGGGAAACAAATGGCGTTCGTGCGTAGGTGCGGCTTGTGCAGCCGTCGGACGCAGTGGGCGCCCCAGGGGTGAGTGTCTTTGGGGTCTCGTTAGGAAGAAGTCACTTTCTATCTGGCCAACATCTGGGCCGCTCATTGGGTGACAGGACCCCTACACAGTTCCAGACTCTTGGGATCGCCGAGGATTGGGGTGCCACGAGGGCTCGGGACTCGGGAGGCATGGCGGAGGGGTTCCATCAGAAGAGGGACGTCTTGGACCCAGCCACAAGGGACTCTCGCCAAGTTGAAGAGGATAAGAGTCGACGACGCCCCATGGACCAACGTTCAACGCGGCTTTCTTGGTTGATGGAGGTGAGGTTTTGGTGCTTTCTCCACGCTCTTACACCAACAATGCCATGTCTTTTTCTCAGATTTGCTTCTACGACTCCTTACTTCCTCCAGGACACAGCGTCTTCAAGGTGAGAATCCCCCTTCTTGTTTCCTCGTTTCTCCTTACCCCATCCTCCACCTCCTCTCCAGCCACATTGAGTGACTAGGTTTCTCTACTCGGTAGCGGAGTGACGCTTGTCTTGCCGCTGGAACGTCAACGGTAAGCCAATGGCGACGACACATGAGGCCTGTCGGTTTCCCGAAGCGGTAACTTGAGGCTTTTGCCACACCTGAGAGCTCTCTTATGAAGGAAGATCGCGAGTTCGTGGCGGTGTTCCCCTTCCACACCCTTTCTGGCCCTTGGCTCGGAACGTGGGGGGGCGAGGGTGAAGGAGGAGTGAGAAGAACGTAGGCGAGAAGGGGCTAGGGCTGCAGGATCTCGCGATTTACGTCCTCTTCACTATCTACTGGCCTGTTACCTGCTGCATGAGGGCATTCCCCTTGTAGAAGAGCAGCTGAGACGGCGATTCTCGCTTGCCAACTGGCTCCTTGTGGGTGCAAGTGCTCCCTTTCGGGACCTTGAGGATGTATCAGCGTCCACAGGTGCCACCTATAATCGGTCTCACTCCCTGTAGGACAGGCGACAAGCGGACGAGAAGCCCTTGAGGCAGCGGAGATAGGCGTTTTCACTGGTCAATGGGCAGGATGGTACGGGTGGCCAGGCGGAGAGCTGTCGCCACGCGAGCAAGAAACTTTCCCCTGGCTTGTTTCCACGATCGGCAAGAGAAGCCAACTCTCCTGGCAGCGAAAAAGGGCATCTTTCACCACAAGAGACCACTGGAGAGGTTTGTCGCGCAGAGCGATGTTCAGATCTGCAGCCTCTGTCACCTGGAATACGACGGTGATCGTGTGGCAGGAGTGCCAATGGAAACGCGATCGCCGTGGGAAGATGCCTTGTAGGTGCAGCTGTCGCAGTATGCCGAGTGGCATTGAGTTTAGGGCTGAGAGGTGCCTTTTTCCTCTACTGCTGCTTCCCCCATTTCGCCAGCTCGCCACCCTACACCTCTCTGTGAGCTCTCAGAGTTTCTCTGGGGGACCTGACCTGGCAGGCTGGCGAAGAGGCACGTTGAGTGGCGGGGATCGGCAAACACGTTTTGAGAGGGGGGGCCTCGGCACGGTTGAGATGGAGGCCTATGATCGGCTGGGGATGACAGAACTCTGCGGATGATGGGATGTTTCAGAAGCTTTGCGAAGGCGAAAAGACAATGGACGACAAGACGAGCATGAAAAGGCAGGGATTTTCCCGGATCTCTTTGCGATGGTCTTTTCTTTCTGACGGTTCTGACGGCGAACAAGAGGAGTGAGATCTGCAGATCGACCATTTGCAAGAAGCGGGGGGAAAAGGTTGTGGTGTTTTTTTTGTTGACCACCTTTTGCGTGGTTTTTGGTATGGGAATGGCTATTTGCATAGCCTTTTCTGCGGTCATCCGAATCGGCCCGTTTTTTTTTTTTTTGGATTTCAGTTCAATTGATTCTTGGATTTATTTGGGTTTGAAGTCGTTGATTTTCTGTTCTTTTGCAATGCTCGTATGTTTAATTGGAATTGAATTGATGAGGATTTTGGGGTTACTTTTCAGGTGAGAGGAGGCGAATGGTGATCGGCGGTGATCGGCCGTACGTCATTGCCCGTTTCTATCAGCTCCGCGACGTTTCGGAAACGGGCGGGGGACAGCGTAGGACGGCCGGCGGGAGGAGAGGATGGGGCCCTGTTGCCACATGAGAGAACGAGAATTTACCTATAATTCTAATGATTTCTCTTGCAACTTTTTCTTATGCTTTTTGGTGTGTGAGACTGGTTCTCTATCGTGCGACTTGAAGATTCTTCTGCGGAATCGGGTGGATGGGCGACGCTATGGGGGAAATGAGTTCGGGACAGCGACAAGACGACGAACGGATTCATGGATGGGACTGCGACCTAGTGGAATGAGGATATTTAGAAGGATGGTACTCAGGTCCTCTGAATGGGAACTTGGCAATGGGGATGGACGCCCGAGATCGTGTAGATGGACGGAAAGCGGGGAGATACTGGACGCGAATTGGGCAACAACAACGAACACAAATAAAACGAATGGGATAAACGATGATACGATCACGGCGATGGCGAGAACGTTGCAACGGATTTGTGTTGATGGAACCATGAGACATGAATGACGATGCGAGAGACATACGCAACCACGAGGAAGGATGGTTGCCCATGGATTCTGCCGACTCAACCCCCAAGGGCATTTTCGACGTCCGGAATGACGATATAAGGCAAGAGATGGATGGGAAATACCAGACTGTGATACCGAAGCGGATCGAGTCGAAACGCGGGATGGTGTTTCCTGATGAGCGCAATGGTGAAGATGATGCTTCGAAGGAGGGAGGGGGCTGGTACTCGGTACTCTCGCTGCACAGCCGTGCTCTGAGGCTGCATCGACGTTTGAGAATAGGTCTTGGGGAGTTTCATGGGGGGATGGGTTGAGTGGACGGAGATGGGATACCTAATTGTACGACGAGAGAGTGTATCTGGCTTTTGGGTTGGGACGGGGGAAAGGTGAGTTGGTATTGGAGCGGACATGCCGTCTGGCTATGCCTTCGTCGATAGGAAGTGTCTCGTCAAGAGTCATCCATCGTTCACCCGTCAACCTTCGACCGGCAATGAAAGCGGAGCAAGGTGCTTTCGCCGTTGGGGTTGTGTCTAGAGAGGTTGCTGTTCAAGGTAATTGTGTCAGGCGAGGTATTGTCTATTCCTTCAACTGTCAGTCGTGGGGGTTTCGTTATGGAGTTGCAGTCGGTGCTACGACTGCCAGCTCTCAAGGATCAGATTGTTTTACTGTCACAACCTTGGGTAGTAGTGTCCTGAACGCAAGGCGTTTATGAGCCTTTACGGACTACACCCTACACTATGTCCACCTTTGCTGGGTCTCGTTGTGGTGACTCTGGATGAGAACCTCGAGGGCACAAGGGTTAAACCAAGCGGGTTACTGAACGCCCACGAAAATACCTGTGCTTCTAGGTCGTCCTTGGATGGCCAAGTGGTGGGTTTCCCAGCGTTTATACTTTGGTGTCTGTTGCATGGCGGATAGTTTGCGCCCGCCCCTCTGCAAACTTCTGTCCTCGAGATCTTTGCGCATTATCTGTGGTGCTCCCTTTTCATCCTTGCCATCATCGGGATGAGACATAGTTACCAGTTTAACTCAAGTAATACAATGGCAAGCGCCATGAGACCTTGTCAGATACCAAGGCCTCTCAGTTATTTGTGTTATGTATAGTGGGAGGGAGGTAGGAGTATGCGCAGTCTTGAAGTAATTATCTTCTGGAGTATACTGAATTGTCAGGGGAGTGCAGAGCTATGCTTTCGAGGACCACAGCAACCATGCAATCCTATACACACGTAGCCAACAACAATCGTAACCATACTGCAGTTGTAGTTGACTGCAGGGCACCCTGAATATATACCCTCTAACCTCACGCAGCCGTTCGAACGATCCTCCAGGCACCGGTGACTAATGCCATCGACTCCCTCAGCACTACATAGCCTCTTGGTGAAAGCTGAAAGTCGCTGTTGCCCCAAGATACACTTCAAAAGATAAACGTCTCTTTGTCTTGATCTAACTAAAGATACCTTTTCTTTATCTATCACGCACGCTCATCCTCCCAACATCGTGAACGAAATCGAACAGGTGTCCTAGATTCTAGGAATGACTAGAAGTTTACTATGCCTCCGAGATCCCTTCCTTCGGATGTTGACACTTGTGGGAACCTGGTCCCTCTCAGATTTCCTGACCGAAAGAGTCTCCTCGTGCCCTTTCATGGTATCGTCGAGCCGGCGTAGAAGCTCTTCCTCATAGTCCTTGCCGAAGCCACGTCTCAAGTTTCAACCTCGACGTCTTTTCTCAGTCTCTCCTTGCCTTCGAGCTTGACTCTGAAAACCCCTGACCCAGAACCAATTCCACAACATGGAGGGACTACCGACAGAAGAGCCGAAAGCAGATCTTATCCTTCTCGTCCAGGAAAAGCTCTAGCGGGACAGTCTCGGGGCTCTCATCACCAAAGCTCCGATCGCGAACCACAACTGGAATTTTCCTACTCCGCAGCGCTTTCCACGGGGCCTTGTCTGTCGTCGGGCGTTGCAGAGAATAGGTGATCCTGTCCGGTAACCCGACGAGTTGAAGATGCTCGGGCCCACGCTTGCGAGACCCTAGCCGGTAGCGTCCCGTCTTCAAGTACCCGGCCACTCCGTAGCTGGGATGCGTCCTGTGCTTGTCCACATAGACTCGCTTGATACTCGGCAGGCAGAGGCTCCACTCGAGCGCGCCAGACAGCTCCTCTGGGTATGTGATCCTCGAACTGAGCCAGCCGAATCTGACATTTTGGACAACCCGGAGGATTCCGTTGGCCGTCGCGCTAGGCTGCGAGCGGGAGGAGGCCTGCTGGCCGCTCGGTTGGGCAAACGGCCACGGCTGCGTGCAGCCGGTCTCGATGTCGAAATTGATGATCCAGAAGACGTCAAGTGCTGGGCAGGCCCAAACACAATCCTCCTTCACAAGTTTGGCGACGATCTTTTCGACGCGTGGATGCGCCAGTATATGGCGTTCGCCGCGATAGCGAAGGGGATGGAAAGTCTTCAGGGCCATTGTCCTGGTCTGAGAGCAGACTTGCAATGGTAGTCGGATACTGTTGAAGTGCTGCCTCGAGGGAGTTAGCCTCGTGTCTTGGATTTGTGGGTAGCATAGTGGTGAGTAGGCTGTTACGTCGTCTTGTAACTTGCGCCCTGGGTGTTGGAGTCTGTGAGGGTCTTGACTTTGACAAATTTCCCACGTAATGGGCTGGCAATCGGCGGCGGCACCTGCGATCATCTTGTCGAATATCATAAGTATGATCTCGGTTGGAAGATGGGGGAGGCATCGAGCCTCCTCCACTATCTTTGAAGTCTTTTGCTGTGTCATTATCGTGGGCGGACTGATACTCAGGGAGCGTGAAATGATACGGTAGTGAGAATCCTGTATGAGAAATTCGTGATGATGGAGTGTTCCTGCTAGAATTTCTCACCGTTTATCAGGGAGGATAGCAGCCATGATATCTGTAGAATCAATGGCTTCGGAGATGGCAGTTGAGGGACCTTGAGTGTCCCACTGACACTGAACTCGAATAAAACTTTTTCGATCTCCGAATAAAAAGCTTGTCATGGAATTTTGGTGCTCTGACATTGATGTCCAGAAAAGACAGATAAGAACCTTGTTTCTCAACCATTCAAGCAAGCTTTCCAAAAACCAAAGGATCGTACGCCTACAAGAGCAGGCGTCGGGTTCCGGACTCTTCATTTGGTTTATGCTTAGCAAAAAGGAGAAGAAAGAAAAGTGATCAAGGACAATTTTATTCCAGACTAAGTAACTTGGCCCCCTCGATATGTGTCAGGCATTCTGCAAAAGTACAACATCGTTGCCCGAAACTTTCCCACCACGATGTTCATGACGCCGTGGTCCCAAGGACTTACTCCGTGCTCTGCAGCCACAGTGACACAGAATCATCTAGTATCGTTCCTAATATCCTGTTGGCATCACAGTATCATCCACCCTGACAAAAATTTACAATCTCTGGTCTCATCTGGAGTCAAGTATTTCATCCTGAAGCCTTCGGTCGTCTGAATGATCTCTGCACCAACCCCGCCATCCGCGACATAGATTCGAACTTTCTTTTTCTTGAGGTATTCCCAAATAGATCTGCCATCAAATTCTGACGTCAAGAGGTGCAAGTTGAGATCTCTTTTGTCGTCAATCTCTACCGGCTCGCTCGGGCGAGGGCTGGGTACAGCCGATGGTAAATGGCGACTCCAATATCTCCATGGTTTGGGGCGACAGACTACTTTCCTAAGGTTTGGTAGGAACGACAGAACAGTACAGAAATGGCTTGGCAGATTCTTGAAGTAGCTGCTAGCAGGTTTCGCACTGGGTGGAAGCATGATATTTTGCACTTTCTGCAAGAGTCGAATGCTTTCCAGATTTGCTTCAAAGTATTCGTCTTCCATGCAAAAAGCGTCGATTTCAGGCAAAGCCCATCCGTAGACGGGCTCTACATCCTGACTGCCCATGTAATGGCATATATCCGCTCGGAATAACCTTTGACGAACCATTTTTTGTCCCATTCTGTTGATCTGTGAGGGAAGTCTGAAGCTTGCATATCTTCTTCGAATTTCGTGAGCCATTCTTCCGTAGTCCCTGACGCCTAGGCCGATAGGGCTTCTAATCAAATAAGTTCTTTCCCAGAAGATGGGACAAGCAGACTGCACAGCTTCTGATATGAGGATATCGATGATGGCCATAAATATCCTAGAAGACAATGAAGCCGGGCCAACGGGGCGGGGTTTGTTCTCGTTTGCGTCTTTTATTGCCGACCAGCATTGTGAGCATGCGCATTCGGGATTTAGGAACTTGATACTTGGACTTTCCGCATCAGGGTCATCCGAAGTATTGTAAACCTCAAAGGTAGAGAGTCGACTGTCTGATACTTTTCCGTATACTCGTACGCTTCGACAGCCGAACGGATTCCAAAATGACCCAAACTTGGTCTTTTGAGGAAGATGATAGTCGCTCCATCCGGGGAAATTGTCGGCATCCATAGGGATCATACCGAGAAGGCATTTGGTATCATTCATCTCGATGGTGTCAATGAGGCTTTTCCCATTGAAGATGACTTCTTTCAGTTGCGGCAGATTCTCGACAACTTCGAGAATAGTCATGTTGAATTCCAAAATATGAAACCGTCGGATTCGTTGCATGAAAGTGTAGGCCTTAAAAGTCGGGAGATATATCAATGAATCGAGGAGGCTTTCAGTGTAATAATCTTCCACTTTGGGTACCCGAAATAGATCAACGTGAGGTAGGACGAAGATGTCAGGGTCAGTTCCCAGAAAAACAAAATGCTGCGAGGGAATAGGTATGAAGACCCGACTAGTGAGCTCTCTGCATTTGTTGTTAATCTGTAGAGGGAGAGAGATGTGTCGGAATCGATGGATGCTGAGCGGTCCAGGGTAACCCAGGTCGCCAGTGAGAGCGAGGCGGAAGTTCGACGGAGCGTCTTTTGCGTACTCTAGCCGCCACTCGATGGCCCGGGCAGAGCTTTTCGCATCTGTGAGGAAGGCCTCAATGATGGCAAAAAATATCTCGGTGGGGATCGAGGCAGGGCCGGCGCAACCTGGAAGTTCTGGGCGAAGTTGACGAAGGGACATCTTTGAGTGACACAGATTGGCTTGTAAGAAGATTGAGGGAGAAAAGATTCTAGATGAAAATGAATTACTTCGAAGCTTGAAATGATTATGGGAAGGAGGGAGAGATTGAGAGGGAGAGAAAGGTGGTTTTGTCCAGAACAAGTAGTACACCCTTTCGCCACAAATATTACCACCCTTTTGGACCTCAACTTGCTTGACATATCACAGATACCTGGAAGTAAGTATCTGCTGCCTTCGAAAAAACGATGTTTGACTTTGGACCTGCGCAGCCGCAAACCTTAGAGGGGGACCACAGCCTGGTGCCAGAGACGACAGGAGGGAGGGACCCCAGAATTCCGGCGGACACAAATGATACGAGAGCCCCAGCCACCTACCCAATTGAGTTACAAGACAATTAGTTAGTATATTATGACTACTGTCCTCATACCATCACCGACCATGCGTTATCTCGTGCACAGAATGTTGGAGATAAACCCAGAGTGAAAGCATAAATAGAGAAGTGGAAGACACTGAGTATGCGCCGAATCATTAGGTAGCTTGTCTCGTCAACGACCTACTTATTACTTTTGATTCTGACCTGAAGTGATGGTCTAACCACGATCACGACGAGGCGAAAGCCAACCTCGCCCGAGACGCGTCAACCCCAGAGTTCCCGCAGCCTTCGTAGCTCAAAAACTTGCACAAGTACAACTTGCTATTCTCAACATTCAACTCTCCCTGTCATTGTACTCAGTGTCGACTGGGCAGCAGGAGCAGTCGGGGAAAAGATGCTTCACGCGGATACCGCCCTTGGTAACTTTCATCTCCATGACAGCCGGCTTGATATCGTCCCTGAACGCAAAAAGCTCAATATCACGTCGCTTGAACGGACGCCACAGCTTGCGGAAGGCGCGACCGTGTCTTTCCTCCCAAATCTTCATATCCGGGTACCGGTGACCCTCGACCTTCATCCAGCCCGGGTGGATTGCCAGGAGCTCGGGGTCATCGTACATGGGAACAGAATAGCCGGCGATGATGGAGACCGTCTTGAGGCTCGGGAGCGTTGAGATCGCGGCGACGGCGATCTTGTTGTTCTTCTGGAAGAAGCGAAGAGTTGGGAGGAAGACGTGCTGGACGCTGCTCAGGAGCTCGTGGCCCAGTGGAGTGGGAAGCTGAATTGCTGCCGAGCATTTCATCTCGCGCGCGGGGCGGACGCCTTCGGTGTCGTTGAAGTCGGGTGTGAAGAGGTCGACGTCAGGGCGGACCCAGGCGTCGACGGCGGAGAGTGGCGAGTTGTAGAAGTGATCTTTCTTGACGGGCATGCGGCGGAAGTGGCGGTGGACCATAGAGCGTGTCTTCTTGTCGATTTGGAGGGGAAGACGAATGCTCAGGAAACGGTCGAGTTCACTCATCTCAACCGTCTCGGAGCCGACGTTATGGCCTCTGATGCGGAGGACGAGCTTGGTCGGGGCGTCGTGGTGGTAGTCGATGAGCCAGAGGACTGAGCGGTTGTCGGCGAGAGCGTTCTCGATGTAAGCATCGATGATGCTGAGAAAGATTTCGCGAGGCAAGTCTGCAGGACTGACTTTGCCCCGCCGGGTAGTGGAACGCGACATGCCGGCGAAGGAGGCTGTCGAGAGGACCGTTCGGTCTGCGAGGCGAACTTGACCGCGTTCTCCTTCGGTGTTTGACAAGCCTGCTGGCGAAGATAAAGGAACTGCCTCAGTCGACATTGTAGCTAGATGAGTAGTTTTAGCAAATGGAAAATGGCAGGGAGTGCGGCGAGTCGTCTACGTACCTTCTGACCGCCAGAATTGAGGATCTGGTGGTGTTTTGTCGAATGCTTCTCAACGCTCCGACCTCAACACTGGAAGAGGATGGAAAAGAAAAGAAAGATGAGTCGAGTTAGGAAGAGTAGGACTTTGAGAAGATTCGGTTTCATGTGAGTAGCCGCTTAGTCGTCATGTTGAGCTCTGTTTGTTTGTCTGCCTGCATACTCACCCTTGACTTGAGGCGCAGAATCAGGCCTATGGCAGACTGGCCGACCACAATACGGATCAACGTCCTATCACATTTTTTCTCAGAAAATCTGAGGCTTCATGAAAGGCCCTGAACTGGAGACAATAACCTACACACATGGTGAACAGGCGCAAAAGAAAACGGATCACCTTTGATGAACTGTGCATGGGACAAAGACTTTGGTATTAATTCCTAAGTACGACTTCTAATGAGCCAGCGTGTTGAACACCCGGAATCCACAATACTTGCCCCTATGATAGACTAATTCTTGGGGCGAGAGCTACCCCGACTGCCACACCAGTCCTTCCATAACCACAAAAGCTGGGTATCTATCCTCCTTCCAAAAGACGAGTGTGAATCCATCACTTTGTACCATTCGTGATCCGTCAACGTCAAAGTCAGATTGCCAAAAAGTCCATGACATGATTCATGCGCTCTGTCAACTCTTCGACGGCTTTGTCGGCATAAGGCTGAATGTATGCGATCATGATCTTGTCACGACTTGGGTGTAACTCGATGATGGGGAGCTGGTCATTGTCGATGACCCCGAAGAGCTTGACTCCCCGTGCTTCAAGATGGTCGGCCCATAGAGTTCTGAGTGCTTCAGACTCCTGAGTGCAGAATTGTGCAAGGCGCGGGAACTTCTTTGGCTCGACCTCATGGAGACCTGGCTTCATGGTGTTGCGAAGTTTGCCGGTAAATCTTCCAACATTAAAGGTGATCGACTTGAGGTTCGGGAGTCTGATCAGGGTTGAAAGGGACTCCTCGTTTGCAGTGATGAGGTAGCGCACGCGCAGAAGAAAGATCTTTTCGACGCGAGAGAGGAGGGCATAGCCAGAAGCAGAGGGCAGAATCACAGCTTGGTTGTAGATGAACTGTTCGGCCTCGCGGCCTTCTTCCAGAGATGTGAAGAAAGGGACGAATTAGTCTGTGACAGGGACGTATGCCTTGACTGGGCAAAGTTGGCGACTGAGTCCGTCAGGAGTGGCGACCATAAATGGGAGTCTAGTAAAGGTCTTCTCGGTCATGCGTCGGGACTGCTGGTTGATCTGCGAGACAAGGCGAAGCTTCTGGTGGCGCTTGTAGGTAGTGGACTGGGGCTTGTCCTCTAAAATATTGACATCGTTGAGGACCAGCTTGGTGGCCAGGCTGTGATTGTAGGCGAGAGACCAGACCTTGACATCGTTGCTCTTTGCCATATCGATGAGCTGTTCAACGACATGAAGAAAGACCTCGTATGGCACACTAGCCTTCATCTGAGGCCGCTTATTCACCGCTGCGACAACAGAAGATGGGAAAGGGTCTGACATGATGGCGGCAATTGTCGTGACTGGTGATGGTTGAGGTGTGATAATATCGTGATGTTGTTGTTGCTGCTGTGGTAATGGGTACGGTCGCGGTAGTGAAAGTGAGGGAAAGGGAGAGTGGGAAGAAATGGATAAGCAGGTGAGTATTTTATAATACAGCCACAGAAAACTTTCAAATTGTAAAGAGGAAGGTGCAGCCCACTCAAAACAAAAAGGAAGGAGCAGGAAAATTATGTAAGTGATTCAGTGTGATGGAAAGGAGACCTCCGGGACGGAGAAGGACAACAGTGGCTGGGCGACGAGAGACACACTAAGAATTGTTCAGGGCATTGGAGGCAGACTGTTTACAACTGGGATATGATGCCTCTGTTAAGGTGAGCAAGTTAAATCGAATAATTCCACAAAACCTTCGGCCTGTTGACATGGTTTCACGATAGCTTCACCTCAGAGCTTCAGATGGATTATAAGCCGAAGACTGCCATCGTCATAAGGTCAGGATAAATCTTACCCTCTGAACTTGCCGAAAGTGTATCATGAGACCCCTTACATTGTACATGCGTCGCTAATCAAGGCTGTGGTGGGACGCGTCTGGAAATTTGCATCTGGTCTTACCTTCTGTTATTTGGGCTAGCCCTACATGGTCACAACTCGCTTGAATGAAGTGCTGCGTATTTTGATCGGACTATTTTAGCTATATTTCATGATGATATCACTGGTGCAATGAATTGAGGTCTTCATGAAGTTTATGAATGAGTATTGTGATTCGTACGAACGACTAGCTATCTGAGGCCCAATACTCTCACTTGTCATGTCTTCATATGAGCTGAATGATACCCATTGTATATTCTCGAACGAGAGCCAGGACCATGACACTATGAATATCATAAGTACGCAATAATTAGGCAGAAAACCTCGTGTCCATCTCTGTCCATCAGTGACAAACACCCATAGCCATCGCAGCCACCGCACTAAACGCTGCGGAATTCGCCTCCGCGAACCAAATCATCGCGACTGAGCATGTTCAGCTGACCGCCGTTGTCAGCCTTCATGGCAAGAACTACCGGGTGACGCTGATTATCGTAGCAATAGCAGACGGGGTCGAGGAATTTCATACGGACGCTGCCATTGTCCTTGCGAATGAGCTCGAGAAGCTCTACGTCGCCGGCACCAGGCGCGTAGCACAGGAGCTTGATGCCCTTCTGCTCCAGCTTGACCCAGACGGGCTTCATCTCCTGACGGTACTTGCGCTCCCACTCGATTAGGGACGGGAATAGCCTGCTGTCGAGGGGAAGTTCCGCATTGTGCTGGTGGCGCTTTCTCTTGGGAGCGTTGAGGATGCGGATGACGCCAACATCAATAGCGACTTGCTTGAGGTTGGGCAGCTGGAGAATGGCCTCAAAGTCCTTGCCATAGGCGTAGCGGTACAACTCAGTGATGAAGATGCGAACGCTCTGAATGGAGTGAGTGATGAGGCAGTTAGCGGGGCGAGGTCTCATGAGAGCGGCATGAAGGTACGGAATGCTCTCGCGCTCTCCCACAAAGATGAGGAAGTGGTCCTTGGTGGGGCAGATCCAGCCGACGCGCAAAAAGCCGGGCTCAGTGCCTTCGACGCAGATCATCTCCCAGGGGCGGAAGACGAGCTTGAACTTGATGCGGGAGCGGCGGTCGATCTGGTTGAGAATGCCGACGATGCGGAAGCGCTTGCGCTGGGGGGCGCGGTTACCAAGCATAGCGTAGTCGACTTGGTCGAAGACCGTCAGACGAGACTTGGCGTCGGGCGTGGGGTCACGGGAGGTCCAATAGAGGATCGAGTCGGTCTTCTTCTCGGCCTGTTTGAGGAGGTGGTCGAAGACGAGCTCGAAGACCTTGTGCTTGGGGTCTTTCGGACCCTTGACAACTGGGAGAACCTTGCCGAGGGATGACATGTCCATGGACGATGCCATCTTGGCGTCAGGAGTGGATGTCGAGGCACTCATTGCGATGGGTGTCTGAGTGGAATGTGTATGGAAGAAGAAGACGAAGAAGAAGTTAATTGAAGAGAGTTAAATAATAGAAAAGAATAGAGAGACACGTCGGGAAGAAACCAGGCAAAAGCTTTTCTTCCATGGCTTGCAAACGGTAGCCGTCAATCTATTCAGACGTGCAGGTAGCCGAAGGAGCGGTATGGGTTGAAGCGGAAGTGGTTTGTTGGTGGTCAATCGATGCAGGAGCAGAGAGATGTTCAGTCATGCTTGATTATACGGCCTTAAATCTGCTTCACCTCTCGTACCGTATTCGTCACAGTGCTTTTCTGAAATGGTATCAGTGCCAAGTACTCTGAGACTCAGGTTCTGGCCAGCTCTGCTATCGAGGAAGATGAGCGAACTTCCATTATAGCGAGAAAGTGAGTCTTTGATGTTGATATGGGAGGGAGTATCGCTATTACAAAAGACAAATTGGAGGAAAGTTTGGAAGGAAGATGCCATTGAAACGTATTACTTTGAGGCGAGAGTAATTCACAAAGACAAGAACTAGTGTCAAGTGTCAATGTAGGTACTATACGATGAGATTGTGATTACTTCAATCCTTTTTCATTCAGCTTTGCGGTTCGAAAGACCCTTTCTGTGTGACCTTCGCCCTTTCAATTACAAAGAAATCAAGTCCTCTCCAGACTCAAGATTGATCTCCTTTGTAGTTGCCCGAATCTGCGGCAGCTTGTTCACACTTCGACTTTGAAGCACATTGGTGACGCTCGCCTTCTTCTGCGGGGGGCTACTAAAGAAGATGTCATCAAACAATTTGTTCGAGAACCGAGTCTTCAGATCCTCCAGAGTCCATCCAGCCTCCTTCCCAATATCCGCCATGACCCCGAGGAACTCTTGAATCTCAGCCTTGTAGTCCTCGTTCTTCATCTTCTCGAGCCACGGCCTGCCATTGACGGTGAATTCCTTCCACTCCTTGGCCCAGTGAGGCCGCGTCTTCAACAGCTTCTGAGTGTTAGGGTCCTTGAGAGCCATCCACTTGTCAAGAACCTGCTGAGCGAACGGCACCCAGATATCCGAGGCCGCGTGGAGGGTAAGAACCTCAATCGAACAGGTGCCCAACTCGTTGCCGCGCTGAGGCGCCATCACGACATTACTCCCCCCCATAATCCTCATCTCCAACGGCATACGCATGGGACACTTTTCCCGATTCTCTTTCGTATACGCAGTAAGAATCGCATCCCACCAGGCCCGCTGGATAGGGGCATAGTCAATCTCCACAGGCTCACCAGGCCCAAATGTCTTGCCGCCCTTGGCCACGAGCGGGATCTCGACCTCCATGTCGCGCACGCGGACGTTCTGGATTGCGCGCTGGAAGTGCAGCGCGTCGGGCACGTAGGTGCTGACCTCCTTGTCCGGGAGAGCTAGCATGGCGAAGCGGGAGATGAGGGTGACGGCCGCTTCGGTGAAGCAGACTTGGTCGACGAGCTTGTCAAGGAGCGTGGTGTTTTGAAGCACGTTCATCGTGAAAGTCTGCACGAAGGAGAGGAAGATGTGCGCGTCGTCGGGGAAGTTTACGACGCCGGCGCTGTTGGTCGTGTCGTTCCAGCAGTTGACCCAGACTTTGTCCGAGTACGGGAACCAGAACCACTCCGAGTAAAAGTCGTTTGTCGCGCGGTCCTCAAAGATCTCCTGGTACCCCCGCTTCTCGCCCTCGGTCAGCTTGCGCCAAGGGTCGGCGAGCGTAGCGGGGAGCTTGGAGAGGTCGAGGTCCGCGGGCGGAGGCACGGCCAGCGCGACGGAGACCTTTTCGGGCTTCAGGTGGGCGTAGGTCATGGGCGACATCTCGAGAGTGATGTGTGTGACGACGCCCATCAGTCCGAAGCAGCCGCTCGCGGCTCGGAGGTGCTCGGGCTTGGTGACTTCCTGCGGCTCTCCGTTGCAGTCGACGTACTCGATACGACGGACGAGGTCACTGAGAGTCTGGTGGCGACGGCCGGCGCCGTGGCAGATTGGGGCGTTGGAGCCACCCAGGGTGATTTCTACCATGATGACGTTCATGGGCATCGTGACGGTCTTATTGTCAATGCACCAGCGGCGGAGTCTCTCGTTTGTGCAAGCGGTTCCGACTCTTACAAGGTAGTTGCCATTCTTGAGGGGCTTCTCGGAGACCATGCTGATTGTTTGGAGATCGTTGGCGGCGGACTCTGGCAATGGGAGAGCCGTGATGTTGGGCAGCTTGGTGACTTCGTGAAGGCCGAGGAGGGAAATGAGAACGTAGCCATTCTCTGCAAAGACCGGGGACCACGAGTGACCTGTTGAGGAAAATTAGATATTGAGGGAGATAATAGGGACATGCTGAAACTTGCGGAAACCTGAGCATCGCACGCCCATGTTGTGGGCCTTTGCGTACTTGACGATGAGCTGGACCTCTTGAGATGTCTTTGGCACACATGTGAGGGCCGGGATGTTCTTCACAGTGAGACCCCAGTTCTGGAACTCCGTCTTGTAGTATACCTGACGACTGGTTAAGCAAATCGTTTGTCGAGATACATCATGCAAAAGAAGACTTACGACGATGCCAGCTCCCTGGAGCTCATTCTTGTTATCCTCGATGAAGTCCTCCATCTTGGTCAACGTATTTTGAAGAAGCGCCCTCTCCATAACGGCAAGCTTATGGATAGGCTCCTTGAGCTTCTTGATTCCCTGCGCACCAACCTGAATGACGCAGTCCGCCTCATGCAACCTTGCCAGTTCCTCCCGGCACCCCAAACTGGGACCCATCTGGAAGCCATTGCCGATCTTCTTGGGATCGTCACCGGCAAGGAATCTCTTGATACGCTTCTGCTCGTCATCAGTGTGCTTATGGAGAATTTTGGAGAATGCGCCGTCCGTTTCCGAGTCCTTGAAGACCTGGAGGAGCCTACGGAGAAACTGGACGTAGTCGACGTCTATGTCATCGTTGATGTAGTCATCGAGAAGAGCCTGCAGACCCGGGACTTCCTTTTTGCTGAATTTGGGGTTGTTGTGGAGGCCTTCGGCAATGTGCCCGATACGTTGATCAACCGAGTGGTCCCACGCTTTCGATGTGGAAGTCATGATTGAGTTTGGCAGGTGGTCGAGTAGCTATGAGTCGTGGTTGTGATAGCAAGCAGTAATCCTGTCAATTCATGACTGTCGATGAAAGAATATCAAGCGATGAGCAACAAACAGTCGGATATCCTGCCGGGACTTTATATCCGTCTCAATCCTCTGAGATATGCTCAGCTTTCCGGTAACAGGAGAATGCGATATCCAAAGGACTGTCTTCATCGCTCAAATAATTTGATATCGCGCAGTTCCCTGATCTTCAGCCGCATTGAAAACGTGTGAGATGGAAAAGTCAACATCAGCCGTGTCTCAAATCCACACTGGGGGCGGGGGCGGAGTGGACGACGAAACCGGCAATAGTGTTGCCTTCGTGTGAAACAAGCGCCCACGAGGAGAGCCGGCAGTGGACGCCAACATCTAGATCATGTGCGGGGAATCTTTTAGCATCAAAAGGTGAACGCGTTTGAGTACTGGAGGAAAGCAGGCGCCTTGTAGATATCTGCTTTAGATTTCCTCTAACTTCTCTGTGCAAGCGGCACACCAGGCTTTCTGAGATAATGCTCACTTGGATAAGGGAACACGGAGTCGGTGGTGAAGTGCCTCGTTACGATCACGTGGCTCAGAATCAATCAACGGCATCAAAAATGTCCGGAAAGTCGCAAAAGCCTTGAGCTCCCGGTTGATCAGAAAGGTCCAGCCCGACATTTACCTCCTAGCTCATGTTCCGCGACGGCCTTAAATGTAATCGTCAAGAAGAGGAAGGCCGTCTCTTTGGCTTGTGGCGTTGTGAGACATTTTGGGGGTTAGATACCTGACCAGTCCCGTCCCATCGGCTGAACTTTGTGGCCTTTCCGTTCCCCAGAGGGTCTTGACGAGGATTTTACCAGAGAAATGGGCGAAAATGGAGCTCGAAAACAGTCTCATCTCAATGCTCATAGTTCGTGACTACCAACGCAGACCATCTGGAGCTTCGTCTCCTTATTCTATGACAGAATTGCTCCCCTCATCCTGAGGGAACCTGAATGGCAAAGTCTGGACTGGCAGCGAGGAATCGTGGACCACGAAGGCACAAAAGACATGGTCATGGATGACCAAGCTACAAGGAAATCTTCTCCCTATGTCGATGCCAACTGATTACTGACTGTCCTCTCCCTGCTCGCTGTCTTGGTCGTCCATGTACCTATCCGATGCCGCAAAAATGCCTTCTGAATGCTCGGGCAATCTGATCCTGCTCTCATGCCCACACACAGCCCACAGCAGAGCCCACAAGACGATTTGTCCAATAAGAAGAGGTAGTTGAGCAGCAAAGGTAGAGATGGTGTCTGTGCAGTCCATGATTATCTGTGCGACTGCCCAGCCTATCAAAGACAAAGATACTGATCCCAGCGCTCCGGGCCACGTTGTCGATTGGCGGACCATGAAAGCCCAAAGAACTTCATAGATTCTCAGTTGGGATACTTGAACAGTCTTTTGTGGGGTTGACTTACGAGGCAGTGTCGCTTCATTAATTCGACCGAGGAATTGGAAAGGAAGAGCCTCGAGAACGGTGAAGCCAGAAACGGCTAGGACGCTCAAGACACCTGATGTTGTCGTGATTGAGACCATGACAACGACTGGTTAGAGAAGTTAGTAAGCAGCGATTTTCACTTCTTCTTCTTCTTCTTCTCGAATGAACCATGACCATAGCCTTATCCAAGCATTGTACGATTTGCTTTGAGTAGGGTATTTGGAGACAGCCAGAAGACAGAGACATCAGGACAGCAGCCAATCTCATTAGAGAAACTTGATGGGAACTAAATGACTTACAGAGTGTTGCTGGCAACCTGTAGGTCAACAGACCAACAAGAATGGTCATGATCAAAGCACCCGCTCCGCTGACAGGGTCTTCGTGAATAATACCTTGAGAGGTCAGAGACACCACAAAAGCGATGCAAAACACCAGGAATGACTGCAAAGCGTTGGAAAGCGATTGCTATCAATTGCATTAGAATCTGAAAGCTGTGGAAGAGGACGGCTTGAACAAACTTGATGCTTCCACCAAACAGACCCCGCTGCTTTGGCGCAGAACGACTCGGCAGCCGCACGTTGTGAGTAGTAGAGTTTTTGATGAGGAAGGAGCCAGGTGACATCCATTGGCCCTCCGATAAGATTCGAGAAGCCGACCTGTATGGTGTAGTACAGCAGAGCGATATTGGCGAAGAAGATGATACCGCCGACGTCGATAGTCAGGGAAGTTTTGTTGAAGGTGATCTCTGGCAATGACCTAAGCGAGCTAACGAGCCCTTCAAAGGCAATGTTCCAGGAGAGGAAGCGCAGTGGCAACTCCTTGATAGGGTACCATGTTATCATGTACTTGACGAGGGTCAACGCGAGACAGATTCTCAAGACGGCGTGGACCCTGGAGAGCAGCACGGCGATGTGGTGAAACAATACCCCGCCTCTCACGATGCTGACTAGAACTGTTCGATGATTAGTTTCTGGCTTGTGAGGGAGAGTGATGAGGACTTCTGAATACTGTTCGCTGCGAAAGTGCAGATGGCGACTTGGTTGAGCGGCAAATACTGCAGCAGGATGAAGCCTGGAATTTGACCCACGAGGAACCACTCATGAAAGGTGAAAATTGCGGATGGCTTGGCGGAATTAGATGGGCCGAGAGTGCTCAGTCCGGCCTGCTATGAGTAAGAGGCTGTTCATTCACTCATTCATCTGAGGGATCATGGACTTACAAGACATAGTGCGAAGAAGAGAAATTCCACTTTCCATGTGGCAGAACGATTGAATAGAGTAGGAGTCTTGGCTATGCTGTTCTGTACTCGCATCGGCCCCATCTCGTCACTGGGGAGAGAGGATGATGCATCGTATATGGTGTCGTGGGTCTGCTCATTGGGTTGGGGGTGGGGTGCCAAAGACAGCCGAATCTTATCAATACGATGCAACTGCTCCACCCCTCGACGATTAACCCTTAAGACAGCTTGCCTGTGGAACGTATTCGTTCGAGCGTCGTAAGAGCAGAGAAAAGTTCGCTGTAGGCCACCTTCAGAGCCACATTCGAGTATGGCGACTGGGGGAAGACGGCAGTGGAAGTGCGTGACCGTCATCAAGTATGTATCCACCAGAGTGAAAGCGAAGCTGCTACTTCCGATAGGCGACCCGGAGGGCTGTGTAGATGTTTGGGGATCTCGTAAATCATGCTCATCGCTGTAATGTTGTGGGTTTGTAGTGCTGAGATTGCCGTGATTGAATCCCCAGAGGTGCTTTTCAATGCTTGCTGAGTCGACGATACCCTCTATGCCGATGAGTCGGGACTTGGCAGGTTGTTTGACTCTGCCCCGTGTCGAGATTAAAATTATTGGGAACAATAAAGCAAAGACCACGGCAAGCGGAAGGAGCCATATGTAGACCTGCCAGATCGATAATCGCATGAAGTCTGAGAGCACGATGCTGGCAATGCCAGTGAAGAAAGAGAACGCCATGGGGACGGAGAAGCATGCAAAGTACGTGAAGCCGGCGAAAACGACATAACGCATCCCAAAACTCCTGTCGAAATAAGGCTCTGGTTCGAGGTTGTCCCAATGAATCGTCGCACCGTAAACCTTGTCTAGCATGACTGTATCGGCGCCGACCACGCCGGATATACTGACGCTTGGGAAGATCTCGCTGAGCCTAGCACCCCAGGTATCTTCTACCCGGTGCCATGGGGCTCCGTCTGGCGGAGAGAGGGATATCAACCTGCTGAGGAAGGCTCCGCTATCATTGGCGATGGAGAGCTTGGCAAAGGCCTGGAATCCGGAGTCTTCTTTGTTCACTGGAGGTCGATGGCGGTTGGGGAACAGACCCATTGTTGCGTATGCAATGTCTCCCTTGTTGAATTGATCAGTCTGACGCCTCGAGAAACAAGCGAGAGCAGCTTCAATGAGCCGAAGGTCGGTAAGGATTGCGGATCCTTCGAAGTGGTCCACGAGTTCCTTCACAGCCTCCGCGTCATCCCATGCTCGCTCAGCAAAGTTGCGTTTCGCCACTTCCTTGGGTTCCGCTTGGTCCCCGAGGGCGTAGAGTCGTATGCGATATTCCGCTGGGCAAAGCAGGAGTTCGGGCAGCGTCCACAGGCGCGATCCCCACTGTCGTAGCCACGGCGTGACGTTCTCACGCTTGTACTCAGGAGGCTCAGTGTTAGCAAGGATTGAGGCGACCTTGTCGTTGGCGGATGGCCCGATGGCAATGATCATGGAATGTGCCGCGCGAACAATGTCGCAAATTCGATAGACGTCCTGACTACTGCTCGTCGATCGTGCAATGCCGTCATCGTTCCTGACACACTCGAAGTCGAGCCAGAATGCTCTCTTTCCCACCCTTTTTGCGGCATCCATGCCCCATTTGGCCAAGATGTCTCGATCCTGTCGTGCAACTTCTTTGTTAGCGTTCCTGGTAGCTTCGTCTGGGTAGTCGTGCTTGTTGAGTTCCTCCTCCGTAGCTACCCTGAACTGGAGCCTGGTGTATGAGACGAAGACGAACTCAAGGTCTACATCGTCTCCGTGCTGCTGGAGGTAATCAGAAACCTTGACTGTCTCGTATATACCTTGTTCAAAGTCTTTGACGAAGCATAGGTATCGTGGACGAAGAGAAGTTGGCGAGCTGTCAACACGAGGTCCTGAAGGCGGCAGAGACCCGCTCAACCTGATGTTGTCGGTGTATTGCTGCTCTGATGCTGGAGGCCTTTCTTCTTGCAGGGGCCCAGGAAGAATGGCATCCTGTTCTACCGGGTGTCGATTTGAAGACGGTCTCTTACGGCTGCTTGCCTCCGTTGAGAGAACGCATACGTTATCGTAACGTGAGTTCTTTTTGTTGCGAGCATCGACAAGCTGTTGTGCGCTTGTCCCAAGATTACCCGCCCAGCAGACCTTGATTTCGCGATCAGCTCGGTCCTGATTAGCCTGTCGGAGCAAGGATGTGTCTCATACCAGCATGCAAAGCACCGGCCATGCTACAAGGAGCTTCAGCGCTGTCACCGCCAGTGTGTAAAAGCCAATATTGTATTTCCTAGTCCCAGGAACGAACAAAGATGAGGCTGCCCAGTAAGAGACGCGCAAAACTGGCGACACTCGGGAAGGTAACTTCCCCAGGCGCGACCACCTCGATGTCTCGGGCAGAATATCCGGCTCTTGGCCGCACTGGAGCACGAGTGGAACCAAGCAGCCGTCCGATGGCCGGGCCCACCACTCGTGGCTCGGGTCCGTGAAGTCGGGCTCCATCCTTTCAGGATCTCACGATGCTGGATGAGGTGCGCATAGATTAGAGATACAACGATTTTGGCGCTCAATTACGAAGGAGAGTGAAAATTGAGATGCGCTTGGCGCGTACCGAGGGAACGCCTCACTTTTGTGTGGTTTTCGCGCTGAATGTCGTTGCCTGCTTACGCTGCACAGCCACGGCGGCTGAGACCTTGCAGGAACCCCTAGCATTATCGATGAAGTTGCTTCTTCTCGAGGTAGGCGCCCAGAGCTCGAACTATTGGCTGGAATCCTTTAATGTGGGGCAACGCTGGGGCAACGCAACATCCAGCGCGAAGTTGGAAGCATCGGTCTCAATTGTCATGGTCGTACCTTCCAGATATTGCCGTGAGAAGGCCATAAAAACCCTCAATTCCATTCCTGTCACCAACGGTGGCAGGCGCCTCACAGGCTTGTGAGGTCAGGTCAATGTTCCGTTTGATAGGATGGTTAGAGGCGAGTCTTCTCGGCGGCAGGCTCGTTCTTGCCAAGCCATAGGTTCGATTCCCAGCATGAGCACCAAGAGATGTAACCCCCAGTTCAGCACCGAGGGGTGAACTCTTTTCGGTATCGACTTTTGGCCTTTCTTTGGTTTTTCTGGCAACCTCGAGTTTGACCTGCTAGAGCCTCTCGAGGCGCGAGTCGAGCAGTGAGCCTCTGCCCAAGTCTGAACTTGACGCCGCAATAAAGTCTGCTGAATAGCATGGTCCAGATGTTAGCGACTCAAAAAACCACTCTGGCTATGTTAGATTGATTGATCGTCGTGGAAACGTAACATCATCAATTATCCAATACCTCTCAGCCCATCACGTGACGTCACTTTCCCACTCTCCACCCTTGCAGATTTTGACGAAACGACATATCATATAAACCATCTTGAATGAAATCGTCATACAAAATAGAATGGCTTTATGGTGTTAAGTGGCGGTTGCAGACTGGTCAGTGTCTCTGTCGTCTGAACAACGGTTTCTTGACGAGCTGCAACTGCGAAGTCAGATTGGTCTGAGACCCTCTATATTTCGACGACATGTCTACTCTTCTACTTGTTCCGTAGCTGGAGAAGAAAGTTGAAGGTGAGTTTCCTTGGTATTCGACAACATGCACTGCATCGGTGGATCTAAATTAAGCATTTTGGTCAATCAGTACGGCCCACCGATAGCAATTAATACTGCATCCATCCTCTCGACCGTGACACCACAGCCAACAACCGAGATGCAGGTGTTGATTCGGAAAAGATTATCCTCTCTATATAGCTATCTCGGTCAAAATGAGAAACCTGCAGTCTATATAAGTGCGGAAATATCATCAGTTCAAATCGGAAGGAGCAAGAGGGAATGTAGTTGCATCTCCGGGGATCGGAGCCGAAAGCGGACCTCAGACATCCGAAGCCCCGCTTTCGCCGAGATCCGCCGACCTCACGCCAAAACCGGATTGGGAACCCTGACCAAAGCTCTGACCATGGGTACGGATACCGACCGACTTTGGCTTATCTTTCAGACTTTTTTCATCTTCCAGGTTCATCCTTGTGCGTCTCACCTCAGATTTCATACTGACCAGCCTTGCTACACTTCAGGTTCATAGTCCGGTGACAATGCCGCATTGCCTGAGACGCATGTTGTGCAACGGGACCATCGCTACGAAGGACAGCCACTACAACATTCAAGCCCAAGTCGCACGACATACACCGTCTACCAATGGCCTTTCGAGGAGAAATTCTCTCGTTGTACGGAGTGTTCATACGAAGTACACCCATTTATTTGTATGGTTCGTCAAAACTCAAAACAAGGGATGATTGTTTTTACTGCTTCTGCGGTCAGCGCCCCGCCGAAGCCTCGGATGGTATCTAGCGTCTAGGGATTTCCGCCGGGAATAACTTTTGCGACACACTCGAACACTGGCTGACAGGTCCCACCGCCCTGGGAAGCCACGCGGAACTGGCCAATCCGCAAACCTTCGTGGTGGTATTCTCGATTCCGCCAGACGTTCTGGAAAACTCTCGACAAGGTCATGGGCGAAGTCGCGAAGATCATTGTCGGAGCTGCCAAGACGAGATATGACTTCATCTACCGAGTATACTGTACACACCAGTGACCCTATCGGAGACGTGAGCGGCATCGTCTCGCACGCAAATGGCGAAAGAGACATGACTTATGTTCTCACCCGCCTCAGCAGTGCTTATTCTCATGGGACAATGGGAGTGGGGCAAACCGAAGCGGACCTCGGCTGAACTTCACACCTCCCCAATCATCGACTCATCTCGCACCGGAAAACGATGGGCTCCATTGATAAGAGGAAACGCGGGATTTGGCACTGTTTTCCGCTTCCACAGCACCACGACTGCAAGGCTCCAATGCGGAGGAGAAGCTGGGGATTCTCATGAAGCGGGGGGAGAAGCAGTTCCAGACTCTAATTCGACAGATGCAGCATGTCTCAGTCTCGATACAACGATACCTCAAAGTCTCGAGATGAAGCAACACGCATCCAAATGTCGGCCCTCTTCGTCACTTCGCTCCAAGACGGCGGCCACTCTAGCCCGAGGCGATGCGACCCTAGCTCCGCCGTTATCCCCGTCGGGCTCTGAAGATCGATCACCCACCCAATGGGCCAACTCTAGTCCTCTCCTCGTCAGGTTGTCCCTTTCCTTTCCCAATCCTGTTCCGATTGCGTGCCTTGAGGATACCCACACCGCGCACCCCACCAACACCCTTTTCACGCCGGTGGATCGGATGCGGGTTGCCGCCCACCACCCATTCCATGGATCAAGCACCAGGTTCCCTTCCCACTCGCCGCCCCCTTTGACGGCGGCGTTGCGCTGCCGGGGGGCGTGGGCTTGGGCGTGGGACGTTTGAGAAATTGTCGGTTTGTAAAACTCTTCTGTCTCTCCCTCGCTTTTGTAGGTCCTATCTACTATCCGTGTCTCTTGAAGGATTTCTTCGGGGCCGCCCCTCTTGCAAATCTCCCGTTGACTCATTTGCATAGTATACCCGCTTTGTCGACTGCGTCTAGCTGTGAAGGGAGTTTGTTACACCTTGGGTCAGAGATACTACTAGTACGGTTAAAAATCTCTTGTCCCGAGGCTCGGCGCGCCGTTTCTTGATCTACTTTCCCTGTCCTGATTTCCCCAAGAGCCGCAATTCCCAGGACATTCGGCCACTTTTTGCGTGGAGCGAGATCAAACATCGCGCCAGGCGCCTATCCACAGGCTATTGAAACAAAGAAGACCTCGGCAGCAGTCGAACAATGTCCGCAATACACGACTTCGGGACCGGGTCCCATGCGGCCGCCACCGACACGGCGACCGCGACCTCAACCAGCTCCGGCCAAGACTCGCCGCCACTCCGCCCGCTCAAGGAGGTCGAGTCCCGGCACAGCCACCACAGCCGGAGCCGGGCCTCGTCCCACTCGTCCACCGACACCGACCCCCTCGAGCCACTCGAGCACGCCCTGACGCCCGACCTCGAGACCGAGGCGGAGCACGTCGCCCGGGAGCCCATCACGTACACGCGCACCGGCACGAGTATCGGCAGCACCGCGTCACGGCCGCCGGACTACGAGGTCGTCTTTGAGCCCGACGACCCCGAGAACCCAAAGAATTGGCCCCTCTGGTACCGCGGTTGGACCATCTTCGTCGTCTCGCTCTCTACCTGGATCGTCGTGCTGTACAGCACGAGTTACACGGCGTCTATCCCCGGCCTTGTTGAGGAGTATCACTCGACCAGGGTTATTGCGACGCTTGGTGTTACCACTTACCTTCTCGGCTTGGCTGCCGGCAGTCTGATTGTTGCCCCGATGAGCGAGTTGTACGGCCGGCAATATGTCTATCTCGGATGCTTCACCGTCTCATCTCTGCTGATCATTCCCTGCGCTCTTGCAAAGTCCCTGACGACGCTGATCGTCGTTCGCTTCTTCGGGTAAGCCTTCCACTCTCTCAAGTAATTGAGATCATCTAACACTGTAATCCCAGCGCATTGTTCGGAGCTGCCTTGATCGCCAACAGCCCAGGAACCGTGGTGGACATCTCAGATGAGGAGTATCGTGCCCTCGCCATGTCCTTCTATTCCATTGCCCCCTTGAACGGACCAGTCACCGGCCCGATCATCGGTGGCTTTGTGTACCAGTATCTAGGCTGGCGTTGGACCAACTGGATCGTCCTCATCATCGCCGGCGTGGGCATTGCGCTCATGTTCACCCTGCGTGAGACCTACGCACCCACCATTCTCCAACGGAAGGCCGCTCGCATCCGCAAAGAGACGGATGACCCGCGCTGGTGGTGCCGCTACGACGAGAAGGTTTCCAAGGTCCACCTCATCAAGCTGAATCTTAGCCGCCCCTTTGTTCTCAGTTTCACAGAGCCCATTCTGTGGTTCTTCAACCTCTGGTAAGACTCTCCCGTGACGCTTTCCCACCGCCCGGGCCCAAATTCTAACAAAATGCCCAGGATATCACTCATCTACGGCATCCTCTACCTCTGCTTCGTCGCCTACCCCATCGTCTTCTCCCAATACCGCGGCTGGGGCCCAGGCGTCTCGGGCCTCGCCTTCGTCGGCATCGGCATCGGCACCATCCTCGCCATCATCAGCGAGCCCATCTTCCGCCGCATCATCAACGCCCACCCAAAGGACCCAATCACCGGCCGCGTCCCGCCCGAAGCCACCGCCCGCGTAATGACCATCGGCGCCATCCTCACCCCCATCGGTCAGCTCGTCTTCTCCTGGACCTGTCTCCCCGCCACGATCCACTGGGCCATCCCCATCGCCTTCGGCATCCCCTTTGGTGCGGGCAACACAATCTCCTTTATCTACGGGTCCAACTACCTCGCCGGCGCGTACGGCATCTACGCCGCCTCCGCGCTGGCCGGCAACGCCGTCATGCGGAGCATGTTTGGCGGCACGCTGCCGCTCGCGGGCACGTCCATGTATAAGGCCATGTCGCCGCAGTGGGCGGGGACGCTCTGTGGTCTGCTCGAGCTCGCGCTCATTCCGATTCCCATCATCTTTTGGCGGTACGGCGAGAAGATTCGCGCAAAGAGCCCGATTATTCGGCAGATGAGGGAGGACCAGGAAAAGAATGAGAGTAAGCGGGCTAAGCAGCTCGCGCGGCTGGAGAGGAAGAGGGAGAGGGAGGCTGCTGCTGCTGCGGCTGCGGCTGCTGCGGCTACGGGTGGTAACAGCGAGAAGTCGACGGGCGTGTTGGCGAGCGCGGAGCAGACTGAGCCTCGAGATATCGAGAAGAGTGCTTGAGAGAGTTCACCATCCTCTTGCAAAGCCATGGGGGAGGAGAAAGTGTTTGATATATGGTGTGTCCGTCACGACACGAATTAGAAGAGGACTGTATACCCCCTTAGCCCTCCGAAAAGATCTAATGTAGCATATACGGCGTTTGGAATGTCGCATCAGGAGACACATGGGCCATTGAGCCTTTCCCTATAGTAGTTGCTGGGAAGTGAAGGTTATTATAGCTACATCCATAGGATCGCCTTAAAAGTAATACTTGGTTTTTGTTAGAAAATCGTTTCCCACGGTCCCAGGTCTCTAGCCAGTTCCTTTAGCCTCTCCTTGACGCCGTCACCCGTTCCCTTGGTACCCTCCTCTCCCGGTCCCGTGGCGTATCGCAAGCAGCCTATATCTCGATATCCTCCTTTGCCACCATTGGCTTTATCGCCTGTATCATGAAGGTCAGCAAACAATACGAATCTTGATGGGGAAGCTTTTAAACGATGCAGCAAGGACGGGCTGTACTCACACTCTTTCCAGTTCCAATTCAGCATGTACTCGCACCGATTCATCCCATCAATCTCCTCCCCCGTCTCCCTTGGATCAAAGGCCCTCGTGCCATACTTTGTCCTGTCCTGGCTCGGGAACGTGCAACCCTCTATCCAAGAAATTGTAAAATGATGTTTCGAACCGTTTGTGCCCAGCCCGTTGGATTTATATTCCCCGCTATCTGGCGATATCCGTAGTCTCTTCTCATTCAACGCCCCGCAAATCTTCCTGATGTCCATCAAGATATCGATACCGCTGATTAGCTCCTCGCCGAACGAGGCCTTGTCGTTGCATTTCTGCTCGCCGACCTTGATCTCCATATCCTTTATCCACTGCGTGACGATAGGGTACGGCGCTTTGCTGGTGTTCTCGGTCGGCGTCGTTGTGGCGGAAGTCGGTCCAGGCGCAAGCGTGGGCACGGCTAGGCACTTGCAGACCTGCGCGACTTTGTCACAGGCTGGAGTCTGGTCGCGACCACACTGGTTTGGGAGGTTGCATTGGCTGTCTTCGGTGCAAGCTGCTCCTCCCGGTTTCTGTGCTGCGGCTGTGGAGGAGGGCCATATTGTGGGCACGTCGGATGGGTTGAATGACTTTTCGCTCTTGGTTGTCTGAGGCGGAGTGGATGTCTGAGTAACTGATGGAGTTGGCGCCGGAATTGGAATGACAGATGGACCGGGCGGGCCAGGAGGAGGCGGCGACTCTGCTAGAACAACATGTTTGTCGTTGTACCTGGTTGTCCATGCTGCCCATTTTTGAATGTTGCCTGGTGATGGTTCAGCGAGTATTCCTAGTTGAGAACTGGCTAACAGCAACGAGCCTAGGAAAAGAGTGACCCTGGATTTTAACGGCATAGTGTACTCTCCGGAATAGATTGATGAAGGGTGAGAATGGCCTACAGAGCAACGAGGTAATTCGCTGTCTGGTAGAAATGAGGGAGGAAGCGCGCTTTTCAGTCGCTGCTGGGCCTGACGCAACTGAAAGAAAAGACGATTGCTCAATTGAAAGTGTGATGTCCGTATTCTTGAGCTTTGATTAAGGTAACACCATATCATCCCTTCGAGATCGGGCACAAACAGATCTGGTATAGACTTGCAATCATGGTACCTCGGATGGAGAAATCACTTTGTTGACCCGAGTCCCCCGAGCAGCCATCTCTCAGTTAAAGAGATGGACTGATGACACTTCATTCGTTGCCGGAAACAGACTGAAGACATGTCGAAACTTGCCTGAGTACGAGGTACGGCAGGGAGGCAGAAGTATTCGGGGAAAGTCTTAAGTGGACAAAGACGCCTGGCAGGTCGGGTGTCAATGTTGAAAGAAACTCAAAAGGGGAGGCTGGAGTGCCTGCCTTTGCCCCCTAGTTGCTTTATCACATTGATTGACTCCCTTGCTCTTCGATTGAATGCTGTTCCCATGGTGCCTCAAACAATGACTGAAATAGGTGTGGTATCTTCGAAACCGCCCTCTTCTCCAAGGCAAGTCAACAGACCATCATGTACATGATATCCCAGTTGTATCTTAGCCTGGCCTCGTGATAAAGGTTTTGTAACATGGCCATTCTGAACAAGACTAACGGCCATACGCCAAATTTGCCACTGTCTAGTATGGGACACACTACAGCACGAGGTAACTCTCAACGCCGGGCGCGGCTGAGATGGCATATTGCCTACGTCAAACGCATCAATGAGGAACGTCTATCGAAGCAGCGCCCGATTTCCGATGCCCCCCAGTTACTGAACGAAATCCAAGAATTCGAAGCTATGTTTACGGACTTGCCTCCACTGCCACCCCGCCTTCCACTCAACTTCCCTCTCGCCTAATTTTTCTTGGCATCTGCTGTTAGTGAATGAGTGAGCCTACCACCAAATTACTAACAGCCGAAAACTCTTCACCTCCCCTTGCCGGAGCCCGCATCCGCGATGGCCTCACAGCCGCCGTCGGGCACCGGACTGATGTCGGCCGACCAAGCCGACCCCGAACCAGGCTCCGGGACACCTCCGGAGCCGAACCCCACCTCAAGAGCTAAGCGACGCCGCGACGCCGAGGCACAGCCGACCCGGCCCAGCCTAACGGGAAGCCAGCTTGATGCCACCACCGACGCCCCTACCTCGGCCGAGGGGCCCGCAGCCTCTACCGCATCTGCTCCGAGCGGATCTGCCACAGGGTCCGTCTTGACAGCCCTTGCAGAAGAAGCTAGACAGTACGAGGCACGGAAAGACGTCTTTCTGACCATTGCACGGTCCGTCGACAGCGTTGTCGCCAGCTTTGACGGTTCTAGAAAGCAGATCGCGAAAGAAGCCACTGCCTATGTCATTCAAACCCTCAAGAGACTGATCAATCACGAGACAAGCCCAATAGCGGCCCGGAGTTGGGCGGCTGTCGTCGCACCGATGGCGGGCAACACCACTGCGGCGACCCGGAGCGGCCAGAGCTGCCAGAGCTCTGCCCGCCCGAAGGCCACACTCCCCGCCGAGGATCAGCCGCAGGCGCAGCCGAAGGAGGACCTCCGCATCTTTGCCCGCGTCCCGGAAGAAAGCTTAGCGGCCGCTCGGAAGATCGCACCGTTCGCCGTACGACAGATCGTCTGTAAGGCCGTTGGCCTGGGGCTAGCGGACCTTCCCCACGTCTACCATATCAGCACAGGTTACTCTCTGAAGCCGCGAAACAAGCAAATACAGGAAAGACTACTTACAAGTAAGGCAAAGCTGGCGGAATGCCTCGGCGCCCACCAAGTCGAGACGCCTATCAAGTGGCACACATACGTTGTGCCGCGATGCCCAACAAAACTACACAGCATTGGCGGGGACGTCCTGGACCCAGCCACACTCGTTGAAGATGAGGTCTTCGCACAGACAGGACAGAAGCCTGTCCTTGCTCGACCGTCCCGCCTTGGGCCCAACCCAGTCACGAACGAAATATCTTGGCTCATATCATTCACATCAGAGGTCACGCCCTTCAGGCTCTTCAACCAAAGCGGCAGATCTCTGCCCATCAAAAAACGAAGGACGCTCATCCGACATGACCCCGGCTGCCAGGGCTACCACGCCAACCGGTTCTGCGGACGACGACCGACTTGCAGCAACTGCGGAAGACCTTCCGACTCACACGAAACGGGACCTTGCATGGCCAGGCCCCAGTGTCCCAACTGCTGCGGCCCCTTCCAAGCCGGCCACACAGACTGCCCAGCGAGGCCCTCGGTCGTAAACGGCGTCGTCTCCCTTCCCGGTCGAAAGGAGCGGGCTCGGATCCGGAAGGCCGGCCAGAAAGCATCGGACACTCTGTACAAGGCTACTCGATCCGACAGTAGCCAGGAGGCGGCAGGCGTCCCTACCTCCACCAGCCAGAACCAGCAACCCGGCGCCAAGCGCGCGCGCACGAGAACGCCCTCCGCAAGCTCGATCGTTTGCCTCGGTGACGGAAGCACTGACAGCAGCAGCATGGATGAAGACGAGGCGGACGAAGGCGAAGGCGAAGACTCCCCCGACAACACCTCCATCGACCGTCCCGTGCTACCCATGCCAAGCAGGAGCCAACGGGCAGCACAGAAGCCAAACTACAACGTCGCGAATGCCTACACCCACTCG